ATATCCAGCCAAACTAAGCTTCATAAGCGAAGGAAAAATAAAATCTTTTACAGACAAGCAAATGCTGAGAGATTTTGTCACCACCAGGCCTGCCTTACAAGAGCTTCTGAAGGAAGCAGTAAGTATGGAAAGAAAAAATTGATACCAGCCACTGGAAAAACATACCAAAATGTAGACACCATCGACACTATGAAGAATCTACCTCAATTAATGTGCAAGATAATCAGCTAGCATAATAATGACAGGATCAAATTCACACAACAATAGTAACTTTAAATATAAATAGGCTAAATTCCCCAATTAAAAGACACAGACTGGGAAATTGGATAGAGTCAGCACTTTGGGAGGCCCAGGTGGGTGGATCATGAGGTCAGGAGTTTGAGAGCAGTCTGGCCAACATGGTGAAACCCCATCTCTACTAAGGATACAAAAAATTATCTGGATGTGGTGGCACATGCCTGTATTTCCAGCTATTTGGAAGGCTGAGGCAGAAGAATCACTTGAACCTGGGAAGCAGAGGTTGTGGTGAGCTGAGATTGCACCACTGCACTCCAGCCTGGACAATAAGAGCAAAAGTCCATCTCAAAAAAAAAAAAAAAAAAAAGAAGTCAAGACCCATCCCTGTGCTGTATTCAGGAGACCTGTCTCACATGCAGAGACACACATAGGCTCAAAATAAAGGATGGAGGAAGATTTACCAAGCAAATGGAAAGCAAAAAACTGCAGGGGTTGCAATCCTAGTCTCTGATAAAACAGACTTTAAACCAACAAAGATCAAAATAGACAAAGAAGGGCATTACATAATGGTAAAGGAATCAATGCAACAAGAAGAGCTAACTATCCTAAATATATATGCACCCAATGCAGGAACACACAGATACATAAAACAAGTTCTTAAGAGACCTACAAAGAGACTTAGACTCCCATACAATAATAGTGGGAGACTTTAACACTCCACTGTCAATATTAGACAGATCAACAAGACAGACAATTAACAAGGATAATCAGGATTTGAACTCAGCTTTGGACCAAGTGGACCTAATAGACATCTACAAAACTCTCCAACCTAAATCAACAGAATATACATTCTTCTCAGCACTATGTAGCACTATTCTAAAATTGACCACATAATCCACATAATTGGAAGTAAAACACTCCTCAACAACAGCAAAAGAATGGAAATCATAACAAACAGTCTCTTTGACCACAGTGTGATCAAATTAGAACTGAGGATTAAAACACTTACTCAAAACTGCACAACTACATGGAAACTGAACAACCTGCTCTTGAATGACTACTGGGGGAATAACAAAATCAAGGCAGAAATAAATATGTTCTTTGAAACCAATGAGAACAAAGACACAACGTACCAGAACCTCTGGGACACAGCTAAAGCAGTGTGTAGAGAGAAATTTATGGCACTAAATGACCACCAGAGAAAGTGGAAAACATCTAAAATTGACACACTAACATCACAATGAAAAGAACTAGAGAAGCAAGAGCAAATTCAAAAGCTAGCAAAAGAAAAGAAATAACTAAGAAATAACTCTGAATAGACAGAGACACAAAAAACTCTTCAAAAATCAATAAATCCAGGAGCCAGGTTTTTGAAAAGATTAACAAAATAGACTACTAGCCAGACTAAGAAGAAGAAAAGAGAGAAAAATCAAATAGACACAATAAAAAATGATTAAGGCGATACCACCAGTGATCCCACATAAATACAAACTACTACCAGAAAATACTATGAACACCTCTAGGTGAGTGAACTAGAAAATCTAGAGAAAATGGATGAATCCTGGACACATATACTCTTCCAAGACTAAACTAGGAAGAAGTCGAATTCCTGAATAGACCAAAAACAAGTTCTGAAATTGAGGCAGTAATTAATAGCCTACCAACTAAAAAAATCTCAGGACCAGATGGAGTCACAGCCGAATTCTACCAGAGGTGCAAAGAAGAGCCAGTACCATTCCTTCTGAAACTATTCCAAACAATAGAAAAGGAGGGACTCCTCCCTAACTCATTTTATGAGGCCAGCATCATCCTGATACCAAAACCTGGCAGAGACACAACAAAAAAAGATTTAAGGCCAATATCTCTGTTGAAAACGGATGCGAAAATCCTCAATACAATATTGGCAAGCCAAAACCAACAGCACATCAAAAAGCTATCCGCCAAAATCTGGAAACAACAGATGCTGGAGAGGAAGTGGAGAAATAGGAACACTTTTACACTGTTGGTGCGAGTGTAAATTATTTAAACCATTGTGGAAGAGAGTGTCAATTCCTCAAGGATCTAGAACCAGAAAAATCCTTTGACCTAGCAATCACATTACTGGGTATATACCCAAAGGATTATAAATCATTCACATGTACACATATGCTTATTACAGCACTATTCACAATAGCAAAGACTTGGAACCAACCCAAATGCTTATCAGTGATAGACCAGATAAAGAAAATGTGGTACATATACATCAGGGAATACTATGCAGCCATAAAGAAGAATGATTTCACATCCTTTGCAGGGACATGGATGAAGCTGGAAACCATCACTTTCAGCAAAGTAACACAGGAACGGAAAACCAAACACTGCATGTTCTCACTCACAAGTGGGAGTTGAACAATGAGAACAGAATGAGACACAGGGAGGGAAACATCACACAATGTTGCCTGTTGGGAAGCGGGGGGAAAGCGGGGAGGGATAGTATTAGGAGAAATACCTACTGTAGATGACAGGTTGATGGGTGCAGGAAACCACCATGGCACATGTATACCTATGTAATAAACCTGTACATTCTGCACATGTATCCCAGAACTTAAAATATAATGAAAAAATAATTATCCTTCCAGTAATGGTTATGGTTTTACACTGAACCAAATTCTCTTACAGAACCTATTTTATCATTACTCAAATTTGAGGAAGCAATGACCAGGCTCTTTGTTTCCTTCCTGAATATTCTTGAAGGATTTTGAAATAGAATTGGTTCTTGTAGAGAGGCAGATACTTCAGTCTTTGTTAGCACTTGGAAGTAAGTGGTTCAATGGATAGAAAGGGTAAACGTGTTTACCAGCTAAAACTAGCAGCATCTAGAATGATTATTCAAAGATTCCAAAGTAGGTGCTGATAGAGGTCTTCAAGGATTGAAACTGATCAAGTCTGAAAGTCGTTCCAATGGAAAATGGTAGTACACGAGAAGGCTAGCAGTTGGGGACAATAGAAGTAGCTAAATTGGGCTGAACCCTAGACTTTTGTTCTGACCAAGGAAATGAATTAAGGAAGTGTGAATTCTGGGTTTCTACTACTGTAGAAACCTCTAGGAACCACTGGTTTGGGGGAATTGCAAGTAGAAGTGGGCAGGGATGCCTTCTTTCATGCAGATGTTTAAATGTCCATATAAAAGTTTCTTCTCTTATGCAGGAAGTTGTTGGTGTTAATGACACCTTTTATCTGCATGGTGTTATCTCAATTCATTGCAGACATGTTTTTGTAAGATACAGTAAAAATGCAATACTAGAAAATTGAAATTAAAAAGACAAGCTCTGAGTTTTTATTATTAGATATAACAAACAAAATTATTTTTTCAAATTACTCTGAAGTTTCTAAGTCCTTCCTCTCAACGTCTGACTCATTGCAGACAGGTAACAGCTTGCAGATTGGCATCAGTGTGCAAACCACACGTGCGTGGTTTGCTTCGTACTAGCAGTACCTCTCAAACTTTATGAAATGCTCATCCGGGGTTCTGGTATACATGCAGTTCGTATTTAGCAGGCTTGGGCAGGCCTGAGATTATTTCTGACAAGCTGATGCTGCTGGTATGCAGCCCACACTCCACAAACTTTATGATTTTTACAGTGACACTGATGTGACACCAATGGTGCTGGTGTGGGGCCCATACTTCATAACTATTCAGAAGCCATTTTATTTTCACAGGGATCTTTTAAGAATTCTCATTCCACTTTACTCATGTTTAAGTCAGATTTATTGATATCCCAAAGTAAATTAACCCATGTTAGTATGCAGTTCTGTTGTTTTTGGCACATACATACAGTTGTGTAACCACTATCACCATAAGCAGGACGTAAAGCAGTTCCATCATCTCCACAAGCTTTCTCATATATTTTTTTTTGGTCATTAATTTCCCTCCTCTGAGTCCCAGCCCCTGAAAATTACTGACTTGTTTTCTGTCCCTTTTCCAGAATGTCATTCTGGACAGGTATCAGTAATTTTTATTGCTGATTAGTATTACCGTATGACTGCAACACCAGTTCATTCAACAGGTTGTTCACCAGTTCACCCATTAAAGAACGTTCTGTTTCTGCACTCGACAGTTATGAATACATCTGCTAGAAACACTCAAGTAAAAGTTTCTGTGTGAAGGTGATTTTCTCAGCAAAAATGTTGACAGGTAATTCTTCTAAGTGTTACTTTTTTAAAAAAGTAAAATGGCCTGTAGTCCCAGCTACTCAGGAGGCTGTGGCAGGAAAATCACTTGAACCTGGGTGGAGGAGGTTGCAGTGAGCTGAGATCTCGCCAGTGTACTCCAGCCTGGGCAACAGAGCAAGACGCCATCTCAAAGAAAAAAAAAAAAAAGTAAAACGAAAGCATTTAAGCGTGAGATGGCTAATTCAAGCAGCCTCTTTCCAAGAACAGAGTATTCATAGTAGAATTAAAAGAGGTTTTCTTTTTCTTTTCCTTTTTTTTTTTTTTGAGACGGAGTTTCGCTCTTGTTACCCAGGCTGGAGTGCAATGGCTCCATCTCGGCTCACCGCAACCTCCGCCTCTTGGGTTCAGGCAATTCTCCTGCCTCAGCCTCCTGAGTAGCTGGGATTACAGGCACGTGCCACCACACCCAGCTAATTTTTTGTATTTTTAGTAGAGACGGGGTTTCACCATGTTGACCAGGATGGTCTCGATCTGTTGCCCTCGTGATCCACCCGCGTCGGCCTCCCAAAGTGCTGGGATTACAGGCTTTAGCCAAATCTCCCGGCCTCATATATGTCTTAAACATGTAAAATAATATAAGGAAAAGTAAGTTCAGGGTCTGAATTCCTGGCTTTTGTTGGAACAACTGATTTCTGTCTAGTGATTGAGAAGATGTGAGACGGCCTAATTTACGAGTACACAGGTGACTTCTTTCCTGCAAACCGCAGTACAACAGTTCCTCTTAAGCATCTGTGAATGAACACAATTATTACAATTAATGATATCGCAGTTGATTGGCGCCTTGGAGAATTAAGACCTTTCACACATAATACACAACCTTGTTGTGAAGGCAGGTATTTATATTCTCATTTCACTGATGAGAGACTACCCGGAGAGGCCACGACAAATCTGAAAGATTATGTACTTTCTCTGTTAAGTCCAATGTTCCTTTCGTTATTCCATGCGATACAGTAACACATTCTTGCCTGAGTAATGAAGTCCAAACCTCAGAACTGCACCCATCTTGAGAAGGAGGAGGGTGCTGATGTTTTTCTGATAAATGCAGCTGGCAGACACTGTACACGCTTAATCACAGGCAAATCCTAGCTAAGCTGTCTACCAAACTAGTCCCTCTTTTTCCCATTGCCCACTCGAATGGCTGTTGATCTTTTCTTCAGAAAATCCTGGTGTTTCTCCTTTTTGTTTTTATAATTGCTCCAATAGATGCTTTAAGATTTAACTCTCTGCTTCTTAAAGCAGAATCTCCATCCCAGGTATGCAACCACGAAAAAGTGAGAGATCCGTGAAAGACAACGCCCACCATGGCCCAGTTTCCAGACAGAGAAGCAGTTCTGGGCTGTCTGCCAAGGCTCCAGCCCGAGGGGTCTTTAAGCGGAGTAACCGTTCTTCAAGCCCCCGCTCCTAAGTCACTGCGCTGACGCTCCAGCCCGGGGCTTCCTCCTCGCACCCGCACCGCTGACAGCGGGACTGGGAACTGGGCGGAGGTCGCCCCGGGCCGCACAGCCCCTCCCGAGACCCAGCCCGCCGCTCCCTCACTTCCTGCCCTCTGGTGGCTGGCCCCGCCAGTCCCGCGGAGGCCGGCGCGGCAAGCTCCGCCCCAGCAGCTGCGGGACGGCCACACCCTGCGCGCCGCGCGGGCTCGGGTGGGGTCTCCCCTCCTGCGCCCTGCGCGCCGCAGCCGCGCCCCCGCCGGCGCCCTGAACGCTGTTGCGCAGCGCGCCCCGCCCAGCCAGGCATCGCGCGGGTGCTGATCGCGCCCCGTAGCCCCCGTCTCCCGAGACTTCCTCGGCCCGGCCGCCCGCGCCTCCGGGACCATGCTGCGCTGGCTGCGGGGCTTTGTGCTGCCCACCGCGGCCTGCCAGGACGCGGAGCCGTCGACGCGCTATGAGACCCTCTTCCAGGTGCTGGACCGCAACGGAGACGGAGTGGTGGACATCGGCGAGCTGCAGGAGGGGCTCAAGAACCTGGGCATCCCCCTGGGCCAGGACGCGGAGGAGGTGGGTCGCCGCCGGGGCGCAGAGAGGGCTGTGGGCGCTGGGGACGCGGCGAGGATCGAGGAGGGCGGCGGCCGGAGGCGTTGCCAACAGGAAGAACTGTGGCGTCCAGCGCTCGGGTGGCTTCAGAAACTCGGGCATGGGGCCACGGCCGGCGACCCCGGTAACAGAAGTGGGTCAGGATACGAAAGGCTACTGGTATTTGTCCAGATAAAATGAGTGCTGTGGACATTCTGACCTACAGGCACTGATAAAGACACTTTTGTTCTGATTCCACTTCAGGTTCTTTGCCTGTTTTCTGTTTTGTTTTGCCTTGCAAACATGTAATCATGTTTAGCTGTCAGACTTCATTGGGTACCAAGTTCCGTAAAAAGGCGCACACATTCGATCTCTTCGAAGCTGCGTTGTTACACCAGCTATGTGTGTTGTCTACTGTTTCAAAACTGTTTGAAAACCAGTAGTGTGTTCCCCTGACTTCCTGTTGAAAAGGCAGGGCGACATTCCATTGTTTAAGACATTCCTGGGTTAATGCCCTAAGTACACAAATTGATCTGAAGGGTTGACCTGTGACTAATTTCATTTTCTCTGAGTCATCTTAACTGTGCCCCTGAACTTCTGCCTTTTTAGTAGGGTGGAGATGATGTGGAATTTCTCCAGCCCTACTGAAGCGTAAGACGTCACTGGCATTCCCTATCCAAAGAGGGAAAGTGATTGGGTTTCTATGAGGGCCAACAACTGTTATGTCGTTACGTTTTAACTTCTCTTTTAATGTCTTTGGTAGTTTTAGGCCTTTTCAGTTTATTGTTTCTTCTAGAGTCAGATTTAGTAAGTTACAGGGTTTTTTTGTTTGTTTGTTTATTGAAACTTCCCATTCTGTCCAAAGTTCATAATATTCACTGATGATTTTATTAAACTTCTGACTATCTGTAGGTAGGTTCTCTATTTCATTCCTGATATGTATTCTTTTGTCCCCTTCAATCTTGCCAAAGTTTTGTGTATTTTATTCATACTTTGAAAGAACCAGCTTTTGGTACTTTTTGCTGATTGTCACAGAAATGGCCCAGTTGGAGTTCCTCATCATGTCCAATCATTGGCTGGAAGCAGCCCAGGAAAGGGCCAGCCTTGCTGCAGTGCATCAGCAGATGCCAGGGCTAGAGGCTAGAGGGTGGCAGTCAACTGTGCTCCTCACAGTAGGCGCCTTTGAAGGGAGATCTCAGTAGTACAACTCCATGGTCCATATCATATACAAAAGCTATTTGGAGATCTTCTCCATCTCCAGATCATTTCCAAAAATCATCTCCTCCATGATTTTTAAGATTGTAAAGGGATTCTGAGATTAAAAAGTGAGAATTGCTGCTGTACCATTATTTTTATATAACTGCATCTTGTTCTATGTTTGTATCATAGTATATGTTACCACTTTATTAATCATTTAGTTTATTTATAGTTTAAAAATGATTATAACTGAAATTGCAAAGGATGTCCTTTGTATTCGTTTTCTGATTCTGGTCCAGTTACTTTCATAGGATAAATTTTGAGGAGTGGAAATTGCTGAGTCTGAAAGTAACACACATTTTAAATTGGGATACATGTTACCTTTCAGAAATCTTGGACTCTCTTTTGACTGACAATGTTTGCTTCTCCATATCCTCGCTCATTCACGTAATCAGTCTTTATAAGCTCTCCTATTCAGCAAGTGAAATTCCTTTTCACTTCCTGTCTTAGTCCATTTAGTGTTGCTATAATGGAATACCTGAGGCTGCGTAATTTATAAAGGAAAGACATTGATTGAGCACACAGTTCTGCAGGCTGGGAAGTTTAAGAAACGTGATGCTGGCATCTGCTGTGTCACAATATGGTGGAAAGTCAAAGTGGAAGTGGACATGTGTGAAGAAGCCAAATCCGAGGGGTGTCCTGGCTTTATAACAACCTAGCCTCCAGGGAACTGATTGATTCCTGAGGGAACTAATTCAGTCTCATGAGGGAGAGAACTCACTCACTACCGCAAGAATGGCACCAAGCCATTCATGAGGGATCTGCTTCCATGACCCTGGCACCTCCTGCTATGTCCCACCTCCCAACACTGCCACATCAGGGATCAGAGTTCAACATGAGTTTTTGTGGGGACTAACAAAACAGAGCACTTCCTCTGCCTTTTTGTTCTAGTCAGACCCTCCACAGGATTGCATTGTGCCTACCCATTTGGTGAGGGCAGTCTTCTTTGATTGGTTTACTGATTCAAATGCTACCCTCCTCCAAAGGCACCCTCACAGAAACACCCAGAAATCATGTTTTACCAGCTATCTGGGCATCCCTTAGTAAAGACAAGTTGACACATAAAATTAATCATCACACATGGGATAGAATGAGGATTACATGGTCAACCTGTATGGGAGAAAATTTCAGAGGCATGTCAGGGATTTCTGTAATGTCAAGGATTGAAGAGATTGGCCACTTAAGCATAGAAATAATAACTATGGGAGGACTTTTCAGCGGCAGGTATCAACATAGTAGTTTGTATCTAAGACAGATACTCAACTTGAAGCAAAATCTCTATAATTTTTTTTTTTTTTTTTTCGGAGACAGAGTCTTGCTTTGTCACCAGGTGCTAGGCTGGAGTGCAGTGGCATGATCTCAGCTCACTGCAACCTCCACCTCCCAGGTTCAAGCAATTCTGCCTCAGCCTCTCGAGTAGCTGGGACTACAGCACGTGCCACCACACCCAGCTAATTTTTGTATTTTTTAGTAGAGACAGGGTTTCACCATGTTGGCCAGGATGGTCTCGATCTCTTGACCTTGTGATCCGCCTACCTCGGCCTCCCAAAGTGCTGGGATTACAAGCATGAGCCACCGCACCTGGCCCCATAGATTTTCTCCTCATTTGATCTCATCTCCATGTTTCTAAGCTTTTGTAATGAATTTAGCATTTAGAAGAGAACAAATTTCTATTTAAGTTTCTTTAGATTTTAGATGGAAAGAATATAGAAATAAGAGCAGAGTGTAGCAATAGGCATGAGGAATGTAATAGCTAACCATTACCAAGTGCTCCAGAATTATCCAGGGAAGAGGAAAGAATTCAAGGCAAGTCCTGAGATAAAATTAAGAACCAGTTGGAAGTGAAAGCACTACATTTTTTTTCCTGATATGACCTTTCTTTGCTACATGTACCAAATCTCTTCACTATGAAATTAGTGAAGAATTAAAGTTGAAAATTAGAGAAAATTTACATTAAGTTCTAGGACTCAGGAGTATAGGAGTATAGACTGAGAGTTGAATGTAGTGTGAGAACAAGGAGATACAGTATTTAACCATTACTAATTTTCCCACTTGTCTAGTAACCTTATTTCCTTTTAAATAGGAGCCCTCATGAATGGGATTAGTGCTTGTATACAAGTAACCCAGAAGAGCTTCCTTGCCCCTTCCACCACATGAGGTCACAGTGAGAAGACAATTGTCTATGGAACCAGAAAGTGGGTCCTCACTACACACTGAATCTGCTGGCGCCTTGATCTAGGACTTGCAGTGTCTGGAAAAATCAATGCTTATTGTTTAAGTAAGCCACTAGTATTTCTGACATAGCAGCCCAGATGGACTAGGACAATTACAAGAGCAAAAAGGGAAGCAGAATGCTACAGGAGTTCCATCCTTGGTGTGAATTGTCCTTGTAACCATGGTCAAGTTTGAGCTTTACTTTCTTTTTTTTTTTTTTTTTTTGAGACAGAGTCTCACTCTGTTGCCAGGTGCCAGGCTGGGGTGCAGTGGCACGATCTCGGCTCACTGCAACCTCTGCCTCCTGAGTTCAAGCACTTCTTCTGCCTCAGCCTCCCAAGTAGCTGGGACTACAGGTGCACGCCACCACACGAGCAGAATTCTTATTTTTGAATGCAGAATTCTTAAAATGCAGATATCTGGCCTGCATCCTGGACAGAACTTTTAACAAGGTCATGTGTGGCTGAGTATGAAAGTTCATGTTAAAAAAAAACCCTTTAAAATGTGGTGTCCCATGTACTAGATGGTGAACTTCTTGAGGACCCTTTGTGCCCATGTGTATCAAGTGTATGCTGAATGATCAGCCAATGTTAGAGGAGTGGGTGGACTGGTAACCTGATTTAAGGGCCATTCTAACTCTTACATTCTATGATATTTTTGATTCTCTGTTTTTAAATTTTTACATTTACATAACAGAAAATAGAGTCACATAGAAGAATGGTAGCCTAGCAAATGTTTATTGCATTGAATGGAATCAGGATTTCACTCCATTAAGTAATTTCTCTGTTAACAAGAAGAGTTCATTTCATTAATATTGCTTTTTTTTTTTCTCTCTAGAGACAGAGTCTCACTCTATTGCCCAGGCTGGAGTGCAGTGGGGTGATCTTGGCTCACTGCAGCCTCTGCTTTCTGGGTTCAAGCGATTCTTGTGCCTCAGGCTCCCAAGTAGCTGAAATTACAGGCACATCCCACCAAACCTGGCTAATTTTTGTATTTTTAGTAGAGATGTGGTTTTGCCATGTTGGCCAGGCTGGTCATGAATTCCTGGCCTCTAGTAGTCTGCCTGCCTCTGCTTCCCAAAGTGCAATGATTACAGGCGTGAGCCACCATGCCTGGCCCATTTCCTTAATATTTTAATTGTCAGACACTTTATGGTTTCTGGTACAATATTAAGGAGACATGATATAGAAGTCGTCGGGTACATTTTAGGGCATCACAACAGGGAGTTTATAAGGAAAACAATAGAATTCCAACTACATTTCTGTCAAATGTTCTAAAAAATATAAAATCTGTATCTTTTCTGTTTTCTCCTGATTTATATTCTAAAATCTGATGTTATGCTTCTTTGCAGAAATAAAGTGTTTGAAAGAATGGAAAAAATGGAAGAATTCTTTAGTAAGGCATAAAATACCCTTTCCATCTTTGTAGCATTCTAAGCCTTTTCAGTCACCTTTCTAAACTCCCAGCCTGCCATATTCCCTGACTGGGCCACAACCATGTACACTGATCCCTTT